CCAAACTCACTCAAGTGAGTCAAGGGGTCCATGTGTTCACTCCGTGCCCAAATTCAGTGTCCACAGTCCGTCAGTGTGGCCACTGCTTAATACAGAACAAGCTGGGGCCCTCTGAAATAGCACTCACTCCACTCACCTCCCCTTCCCCCACACCCCACACAGCCCTCTTTCAGTTTTTCCACCTCAGAGAAAGGTTCTGGCTGCCTGTCAGTCCAGAGTTCTATTGAAGGGTGATCGATCCTCCAACTACCTTAGAAAGGAGAACACCGAGGGCTCGAGAAAAAAAAGGACAGTAGAGACTTGCCTAATTTCAAAGTGTATGGGGAGGTCAGTGCCTCAGAGCAGACGACAAAAAGTCTCCAAGACAGCCATCATCTATTGGGTACACAATTATTGGAGGGAGAGCCGGGTGACCTGAGGGGGTGGCAATAATCCTAGAACAATGAGGAGATGATAAAGATCTTAAATCACCAGATTCTTGGAGGAGCAGTGGACAGAAAGGGACTGAAAGAATTCTAACAGTGGTGGGTAGGATGACTTCAGTTTGACAAGGAATTAGTCCGTCCCCAGGTGAAGCTTTCTTCACCTTTGTTTACTCTTTTGCTTTACTACTTGGTTCTCAAGGAACCAGGATGTAATCTTGCCAGGGAGCAGCAGAGTGCCACAACACCACTGAAGAGTCGACTGTGACCGTAGGCAAAAGGTGGTTACTTTCCACATGCCATCGCCAGCTTAGGGGCAAGGTACACGGGACCTCAGACGACTACAGTCAGGCTAATTATGGAATGATTCCCCCCGCCAATGTATGCAGACACGCTCCCAACAGAGCTCCCGACCCATCCTGACCTGCGTCTCGCGTACCTCCCACTCCAGCGCGTCTCCACAGCAACTTCACCTCTGCGCTGACTCTGCCTCTCCCATCCGATAGGATCCTAGGATCGATCCACGCCCGCTGACCCCTCCCAGAATGCATTGCTGCACCCCTAACCCTCCCCATTCGCCCTCACTACCGCTCTCCGCTGGCCACTTCCGCAGGCCCCCCAGCTTCCAGCCACATTCGAGCTGAAGAAAAAGCC